TATATAAAAACAAAAAAAAATTATTATTATAAAACTCTGCAATGGATAGCGCTTCGGGTTGTGGAATCGGAGAGCCGAGTTCAAATTCAAGTCGAATCCATTAAATTCACTTACGTGCTAATACCCTTGCAGAAGGTATGAATCCTCTTCTTCTCCAGCTATGGGTAAATAACAAGAGAGACCGGGTTTTGGTATACTGCAGAAAGAAATGGCAACCTACTGCGGGAAAAAAATTTGCCTCGTCGCTTAGGCGATCATGTATCTACACATGACGGCCTAAGTATGTATCACGCATGGCACATAACTGACTGACTGAACGTTTCTTGTGTGTTTGCCAGAAGTCATATATAGAGAGTGGGTGAAAGAAAGATATAAATTTATTATCGTGTAAGAAGAGGGAGAGAAGAAAAATGGTGTGTGTTCGTCTCAGATGGTGACCTAATTTAACGTCCGGAATGTGGACATAAATTTAACCATTTATGTCCGCTTTTCACCTCTCTCTCTTTCCACTACTCTCTCTCTCTCCTCCCTCTCTCTTTTCACTTCTCTCTTTCCACCTCTCTCTCCACATCTCTCTCTTTCTACGTCTCTCTCTTTCTACCTATCTCTCTTTTCACTTCTTTCTTTCCACCTCTAAGATTTCGTGCGTGCATATTTATATTTCAACTTTCTTTAAACAAACAATATTTTAAATATTTAAAAAATATTTTTTCCATATTTAAAAAACATTTTCGAGTGAATATGATTTTAAAATATTTTTTGGCATATTAAAAATGTATTTTTACGTTAATCTGATTTAAAAAATATTTTAAGTGAATAAGATTTAAAAATACGAGTTGTTTATAGAGTAAGTATTTTTATTTTAACTTTCTTCAAACAGACAATATTTTAATGTTGAAATCAACTTCAATGTTTTATAACTTGAACTGTCAGCAACCCAACGGCTCACGGGTAGTCTAATATAAAATATTCCATTTCTATCCACCTCTTCTAACAATGAAGATCAGTCGTTCACATGTGGAAGTTTTGTTAGCCCCGATTGTAGTTAAACTAACACATATATAGATAGGTCCTGATCTGGCATCTCGTCTACAGTCACTTTCTCACAAACGTGCTAGGGCTTCCCTCTGTCTTTTCTAAAAATATTTTCAAGGCATCTACTCTGGCGAGCTACTTTCACTGGTTCCCAAACTGCATGAATTTAAGCGTGCTACTAGATTGGCATCTCGGTCCTACCATTTCTCTGTCGAAACGGTAAAATGTAGCTGTCTCTCCTACTCCAACAGCTTCTTATCTTGCACTTCCCGTCAGTGGAACTCCCTTTCTATTTCTTGCTTCCCTGATAGCTATAATCTTCAATTATTCAGATGTAATGTCAGTCGACATCTTCTGATGCCTTGACCTTGATCCCCGTCTTCCTCTTTATCCTTTTCCCAAATACCCCTCTTTATTCTTGCTCTTACTCTCTGTAGCCCCTTGCGTGCTAGTGACACTCCCATCTTTCTTGAGAAAATATCGCAACACTGAATTGAACGATAACAGTCATTGGATATGAGAAAACTATTTGCGTGAAACATTTATAAAATCTTTCTGTTAGAAAGATTTTAAGAATTTCAACCGGAAGTAGCACTGCGGCTCAGTCAACGGATGCTGAATATTTCCTTATAAGGAAAGCCCCACATTAAAAAAACGGTCTTGTGCCACATCCCGTCTTATGAGGAGGTCTCCATTAACTGTTTATTTATTACAGTAGTCTGTTCTCAAATCGTGTACCGTATTATTCTCCGGAATAAACTACTACTTCAAGTTTTTTTATTTACAACACAACAAAAACACAGGAAGTTGGTGAGGGCCATGATCACATATCCTGAAGGGATGCAGCATATAGAAGAAGAATAATGTCTGTTCTGCCAACTATTTACTCAAGTAAAACGGTTTATTCTAGGTACCATGAGCCTTCAGGACATGGATGATCATGGCTCTCCGCGATTTCCTATCCTTTGTAGCTCTTTCTAAGGTTTGTCTTTTCGTTCTTCCGCCTAATCACTGTCCGGTTATCCATTCACACAAACTCTTTAGGCAGATTGCATGCTGGTATTAACATTACCATTCTTCTGGCCTTGGGCTAAACTAAACTTTAATTTTAGTAGATAATGTTCACTAAGCATAGCTTAGTCTTCGCACAAAATCACTATCTTGGGACACCCAGTAAGGACCAACGTCATTATAGAGTGGTACTAGCTCTCTCACCATTACAATACAGCAAGACACCCTACTCACACCCCCAGCTTAATAAAATACATAAAAAGTAGACACACTTGAAGGCGGGGGTTCATTTATCAAAATCAAGCCAAGTTATCCTTCGCGACGATGAATTGTTTAATTATAGGATTCTAATTCATTGTATATTTTGCAGGTGACATTGAAAATAAAACCGAGAAAAAGTTAAATAGTTCTCATGGAAATGGAATCGCCGATCTGGGTTCAAATATCTGCCTACTCTGTTGCGTTCAGTTTCACACAAATGCCATTGGGTAAGACTTGGAATACATCTGCTCTGGCCGTCTCTAACTAGCAGCGTAAAATGTGTTCTCTTCTAATATCTCCTGTTAATTCCCCTTTCCAAGTTCTCCACTGCCTTAACCAGAGGAAAATTAACAGGAGATAACTGATAACTGACATCCATTAGAGATGGCACGTGGAAGTAGAACAATCTACCCCAGTGAGCGAAATAAAGGGTTCAGTTCGACATTCCAACCACCTGCAGAAGGCCGGAGCGTACAACGGCCGAAACGTAATAAATATGGCGACAAAGATGAGAACACTAGTCCGAATAATGTAAATAGTGTACATAATACCTCATCACAGAAATATAGACAGATACTGAAAGGCCGAAACGTTGTAATAAATATGGCAACAAAGATGAGGACAATAGTCCGAATAATGTAAATAGTGTACATAAATACCTCATCTCAGAAATATAGACAGATACTGAAGTGAATTCGTGTTTTACGCCAATGTGACTCTTTCATATAAACAGAAGGTAGAACAGTTGATCATGCTGACAAAACAGACATCAATCTTTTTTTTGTTCTAAAGCCGGTTTAATAGTCATGAGACAATTGCAAATTTTACAAACACTATTAGGCACATATAAAGGCCAGCATGCCGTCAACCTTTGCGACCCATTGCACAAAAAAAATAAACCCAGTTCCGAAGAAATGACGGACTCTGAAATAGCAGCTCTCTATTGCATTTAAAGGTGTAGGGTTAATCTCTAATACCTGAGACGCCCCAAAAGGGAAGTGTCGAAGGAACTGGACAACGTATGGAATCATCAGTATATACAACCACGGAGCATTACATTAATTAATTACAATATGTGGAACGTTGCCATCGTGGAGAGTTGATAAAGCTTATCGGATGATAAACATCTTTTGTTTCGCCGTTGTAAGTTATGTGACGTTTGGTTCATGGAAGAAGTTACATGGCCAATCTCATGTACTGAATGGAAAACAAAGAATTCGCTTTTCAAGTGTTTGTGTCTGTGCCCTGGTGGGATTCACTTAATGAAAGAAATTAAATTCTCTCATGGCTGTTCCTAAATTCTGGTTGTAATTTAGGCTTCTTGATATTTACCTTTTCTTTTCAACCATTTCGCCCCAAGCAAGGCGATAATGCCATTAAGGCCTAAAGGGCTACTGCGGGTGGAAGAGAAAAGAAGATTTTAATGAAGAGAAAGATCAATAAAAGAAAAGGATTCAGGAAGACAAAAGATGGTGATTGACGTTGCATTCTTTGAAGATCGTAAGTGGCAGGGAGACAAGAAAACGGAAAAGAGTTCCACAGGTGCCAGAAAAGAAACTATCAGAATAGAACTTACGGTTACATCAAGCAATTTCAAGAGTAAAACGATGAGACCTATTTGCCATTCTAGTATAGTATCCTTAAATTTATGCGGCCGAAGTACTGAAGAAGAGAGATAATTAGAACAGTTGCCATGAAAATATTTATAGAAAAGACAGAGGGAAGCCGTGTTTCAGAGATGGGAAAGTGACTGAAGTCAAGATGTCAGGTCAGAATTGATAACATTATAGACTTGGATTTTGTCGAGATGAAACACGACCAAAGGAAGAAAATGGTGGACAGTAAGATTGCAATGGATCAATGTTTCAAGTGGAGAGGCCCTGCCTCCCTAATATGAAAAGTCATCATTCAAAACCCCCAAAACGTTGAGAAATAAAACACAACTATCTCAGTTACGAGGCAGTCACAGTTTCATGGAAATAACAGATATAAGCCTTAAAAAGTTCGGATTTTACAAATACTTAAAAATTGGTATTTTGTGAAAGAGGAATTGATATAGTTTGAAGAGAAAGTATCAAATTTCGGTGACACTCTTCACAATATATTTTTCAATTTTCATTTTTTCTTAGAAGACCTGGTCACTGGCACTAGATATCTGACAGGCTTCCATACATTTGTAAGAATTCTTTACTGCTGTTCTTTTCCTACAGAGAATATTTATAGCACTGACATGCGACTGACTTGTAGAAGTGATGCTATTAAAAGCTCCGAGTTACTACGCAAAAAGTGACAAGGTTTCAGCTTACTGAGATTGCTGGTTTGTGCTATGTCCATATTCAATGATTCATAAGTAGAATTTTGCAAGAAACCCGAAGAAAGAGAAATTCTTTGAAAATAGTTTATGAAAAAATATTTTATATTGCGTTCTGAGCCAATTTTCTTTTAAAAAATTTCAAAAGTCTTCGCGGAAAATCTTTTTCGTGTTTGAAAATATTAAGAAGGAAAAAAGAAATTCGTCTGTTGTCTGTCAAGAAAGAATTGCAAGTGCATATGTATTGGTAATTGGACCAAAACGTCAAGAAGCGTGCAGAGAAGAAACCAGAGTTCCACGTTGAAGGATAAACGTTAAACAGAGATTCAATAAGATTTCAGTTTGATTGATGAATTTTATTTCGATTAATATTTACTGTCAGCTTCAAATTAGATTACAATCTACTTATCGATCTATCTATCTCAGTTTGTACATTATCTATCTATCTATCTATCTATCTATCTATCTATCTATCTATCTATCTGATTCTGTTCATTATCTATCTATCTGATTCTGTTCATTATCTATCTATCTATCTATCTATCTATCTATCTATCTCATTTTGTTCATTATCTCTCCCTTTCTCTCTCTCCCTGTATATATATATATATATATATATATATATATATATATAAAAAATTCTGTTCGCTATCTATCTTATTGTTGTGGTGTCCTCCCTCTAAAGAGTCTATATTGGACTCTTCCGCCTACTATAAGATTAGTAGGAGAGAAGGCCTTGGTGGAAGAGTCGACCAGATTGTTCACCTGTCGAACTCTCTGCCTCGAGAAAGAGAGGAACCCGGACGAGACTTTTCCTAAAGGCAAAGTTTCATCCGCGGAGGTAGACAGGCCCTGAACCCGTTTATGCGGGTTCTAAGAGAATATTTCTGGCCGAGCCTACGAGCTCGGAGAACCCACGATAAACTCGACCTCGTGGTGGCGGGGCTGTTAAATATGTGCTAATCAAACTCTCTGCCTCCGGGCAGAGAGGATCCCCAAACAAAGCTATGTCGAAGGGCAGCTACCCGACCCCGTTTTATACAGAGTCTATGTGGAATTTTTGGCCAAGCCTTCAGGCTCGGATTTCCCCACATTAAACTCGGCATTGTGCCACATCCTAGCTCGTGGGGAGGCTGGTAAATATAACAGTCGAATAGATTGAATGCTTGGTCATCCGACACCCACTCACTAGTCGTGTAATACTCTTCTGTTTTACTTTCTGTTTAATATACGATATATCTGCAACACTTGTTTTGTTATTTCTTTAACCATTTACTTGCTCACAACACTTATTCTATTCCCTATCTATCTATCTATCTATCTATCTATCTATCTTATTCTATTCATTATCTATCTATCTATTTTCTAGTTCAGTAGCCATTTAATCGCGGTTTTCAGTTATTTAGACCAATTCGTTTAAATATATGAGAAAAACAAAACAAAAAACAAAACAAAAAGAAAACAAGTACATTTGTAATAATTTTCATTAATTAATTATTATTTCCATACTTTTTAATTAGATCAGCTTAAATAAAATGAATTGACTTTTTGTTTAGACATTGCTGGCTTACTCACCCCTTCTTCCGCTTCAGTCAGGCACAAGGCCATACCTATTTTTGGATTCGGATTGATCAAGTAGTATCTGTTTGACAACTTTGAAGAGCAGATATACAATTAAGTGACATTTAGCTTATGCAAAATTCCCCATCGTTTAAAATATTATGTAATTAATCAGGACACAATGACATATCATTTTTGGTATCTGGAAGAGTTAATGGGCTGCCTTCATAACCTTCTTGCAGAAGTTACGAATAGGTTTAGGCTGGCTTCAGATTCTTTTGCAAAAAGAGAATCTTGGTGAAGTCCAAAAATTATAAGTCATGTATTTTTAGATGCGGATGTAGCAGAGAACACGCCATGTTTTATTTAAAACGCTTCTTAACTAATCAGAAGCGAGATGAATAAATATTTTCTTTTGAAGCGCCAAAAAGGTTACACAAACTGGTGATTTTTCCACACTGAAGTCACACTTTCAATCTGTTACAGACTTTGCACCACTGGGGATCAAGTAGAGACCAGAACTTTTTGCAACCTTATTTCAAAGACAGTGAAATTTACAATTATCTCCTTCACACACTCTCCCACATACACATTATGAAGAAACATTTCTGATTTCGTATTAATCACAGAATTTTTAACTTACGAAGGACAGAATAAACACCCTACTTGACTTTGACAAGACGCCGGGTCACTCCGCGTCTTCTTTCTCTTTTCCTCCCACCTTATTCCAGGGATAACTTGTAGATGACCGGTGATTGTTTGCGTGTTGTTGTATTAGAAACACGTGTGTAACTCCTGGTAGAATATTAAAAGGTCCAACTACAAGAAAATTGCCGGACTCAAGTTAAGTCCAACTGAAGATGAAAGGAAAACAAACAAGACCGATATATATATATATATATATATATATATATATATATATATATATATATATATATATATAAACAAATATATGTATTAAACAAAACAATTTTACAATGGACATAGACAATAATATTTGTGTGTGTGTAAACATTGGTGTCTATTCTTTTGTGAATGTTCGTACGTACGTGTATGTGTGTATAATGCTCGTGGCGTCTCCCACAAATGGGAAGACGCGGATCTTCTAAGAGAGCTTACATTGTAGTTGCTGAAATGGAGAAATGAAAAAGAGAACGAGGCGAGAAGTCACCCAGTATTTATAGTAAAGGGAGAATGACCCCTAGTGACAATTTGGGAATTAAGGAGGAGCTAACTTCGACAAACTCACACGCAATACATAATTCTTAAATTTTAATCTCTTCTTCCTTTTGCATGCATACTAATGTATTTTCTATCCTTTTTTGTTACTATGTTACATAAAAACACATGCCAATATCGCCTTGTTGAAAATAATTCAATTTCCAATCACCTTTACTAGCAATGGCGACCCGTCATTTGTGTTATATAGGAATAAAATGTCACTGCCGACGCTTGAGTTTGAACATAGGTCGCCAGTGAGCAAACAAAGGCGATCCCATTATTGAATTAAGTAGACCACGTGACCGTAGAGGAAACGCATATATGGGAGGTCGCGTGACATCTAGATTGATCGCATTTCTATTCTATACTCTATTTCTATTTGGATCTGCATTTCTATTCTATCCTCTATTACTGTATGGACCGCTATTCTCTACTCTATTCACTATACTATTTCTCTATTCAGATCACTGTATGGTGGTTACTTTGCGAGCGAGTATAATCGAGCAAGTACTATTAGTGCGAATGCTATTAGAAGGCATCTGATACCAGTATTGTTCAACGGCATTACTATAGTTGTATCTGCGATTACAAAGTCTCTACTACAACGAGCATTACGAAAGTGACAACGAGTATTTGTTAACATTACAAAAGTAGAAACGAGTGGTCGTTGACATCACAAAAGTTTGCATATGTAAATTTTGTTTACCACTGATTTTAGGAGCAATACATCAACAAAACATCTAGAAATCTTTCTTTTCTTTTTATGTGCCGTGTCCCTTCAGGACGTAGGCGATCATGGCTCTTCAACCCCCCTCCCCATCCATTGTCGCTCTCAATAAGTTTTGTCCCTCTGCCACCTCCGACAGACCACGTTCTGTTATCCACTTGCTTAAGCCCGCCATTTATGTCAAGCGTTGCTTTCTCTTGTATCTCTTTCCCTCTATTCGACTTGTGAGTATCAGATTCTCCAGGCCTTCCTTCCTCATCACGTATTCCAGAAACTTCAGCTGCCTCTTCCTGATATTAAGTATAAGGCTCCTCTTTGTTTGCATCCTCTCTAAGACCACCTTGTTGCTCACACGCTCGGACCATGATAACCTCAGCATCCTTCTGTAGAACCATATCTCCGTCGCCTCGAGTCTCTTCTTCATCTTTGAGGAGACCGTCCAACATTCGCTGCCGTAAAGGAGGACAGATGTCACGTAGCAGCTCAGTATTCTTTTCTTTGTTACGTCTCGCAATACTCTGCCCAGCTTTTGAAATGCGTCCTTGGCCATCCCAATACGTTTACAAATCTCTGAGTCGCACTTACCGTCCTCTGTCAAAACACTTCCCAGATATTTAAACTTTCGCATCTGCTTTATTTTAGTGTCCCCGACCTGCAAGGTTTTGTAATTTAGTTTTGGTTTTAGGAGTTTCTGTAATTTCTTTTCAGTGTCTGCAAAAAATCTCAAATAGTAAATGTATTTGATTTTTTCTTATATTTTTATAATCAACATTTCATGTGACAGAATGTGTTCTACAATTAACTTTTAAAAAGTAATGATTGTTCTACTTATTAATTACGGGCCACCATAAAAGAAACTATTCATTCTAGAGTTGTCAACATCGATTTGCATCATTATTTGTCAGACCTGGGAGACGTGAGGCATCAATGTAATAAAATACATTTTTTCTCTTTTAAATAAATATTTGGCAATTTTGGTGTAGTTAAATCGAATAAAGACTAAGAAAAAAATATTGCTTTTTATTACAGTTCACCATAGTTACAAAAAGAAACTATTCATTCTTGAGCTGTCAATACGGATTTGCCACATTATCCGTCAGTCCTGAGTGAGGTGAGGCATCAATGTTATAAAATACATTTTTCTCTTTTAAATAAAAATTTGGTATTTTTTTTGATGTAGTTAAATCGAGTAAAGATTAAAAATGAAATATTGATTTTTATTACGGGCCACCATAGTTACAAAAAGAAACTGTTCATTCTAAAGATATCAACACGGATTTGCCTCGTTATCCGTCGGGCCTTCGTGAGGTGAGGCATCAATGTTATAAAATACATTTTTTTCTCTTTTAAATAAAAATTTGTCAATTTTTTGTTGTAGCTAAATCGAGTAAAGATTAAAAATGAAATATTTCCTATAAAATTGTCTTGATGTTACAATTATTTTTATTTTTATTCAATTTTTATTTGTTTAGAATGTCGACTTTTAGTAGCCATTGGGATTAAAGGGAAAATTTTGAATTCGAAACCCTTTAATTTGTTTTAATCATTTCACCAGAAGGAAGGCAATAATGCCTCTAAGACGCAAGGGGTTACTGCCAGGGGAAGAATATGAGATGTTTCTGAGGAGAAATAAAAATAAAATAGCAATATTCAGAAAGACAGTAGATTGCATTTAAACTTTTGAAGAACGTAGGTAAGAAAGAAACCGGAAGATTTCAACAGGTGATAAGTGCGAGAAAATTACATAGGCGTAAAACTTGTAGTTACATCTAACGAATTAAACAGTAAAACGATGAGACCTAATTGCCAATCTAGTAATCTTCTCTATGATAACTAAAAGGTAGCAGTTTCGTTTTGGAGGCAGTAAAATTTACAAGCCATTTCTTGCCTCAATTAACAACTGACTAGAGGTCATTTTCGAGAACAGCCGCCAATTTTTCTTTGTCGGATTTATCGGACTTACAATTAGGACAAGAGTAAGCAAGGCGGGAGTGCCACAAGCACGCAAGGGGTTACAGATGATTGAGAAGAAAAGTAAAGAGGCGTATTTGAGGAAAGGAAACAGAGAAGGACAGGGAACAAGATCAAGGTATCAGATGTCGATTGACATTACACTTGAATATTTGAAGATTATAGTCATCGGGGAAGCAAGTAAGGGAAAGGGAGTTCCACAGACGGGAAGTGCCAGAGAAGAAGCTGTTTAAGTAGAAGAGACGGTTACATTTAACCGTTACGACAGTGAAAGGGTGGAACCAAGATGTCAGCTTACTAGCTCGCTTAAATTCATGCAGTGTGACAACCAGTGAAAACAGCTCGTCGGAACAGCTGCCGTGAAAATACTTGTAGAAAAGACAGAGGGAAGCCACGGCACGTCTATGAGAAAGCGACTGTAGACTAGATGCCAGATCAGGACCTATTACATTGCATAATCGTCTCTGGATTTTTGTCGATGACCTCGAAATCTCGGGGACACCAGACCATGTCACGACTTTTATTACAGGATTTAAGAAAGATTTGATCAAGTCAAATATTTTACCAGAGACAGCGTAGACCTTCAGCTTGTGAAGAAGGTCATCATGCCAAACACTGTTCTTTCTGTCATCTTCCAGCCGAGGGACGCTAGTTGGTTTGTTCGGAGGTAAAATGAGAACTTCAATAAATATTAAACACGTCAACGTGTACATTTTTATCTCGCCATTTGGAACTGCTCTATCAGCCCCACTAGGGAGCAAGTTCTCCTAGACGCTAAATAACCATGTCTGATCTCTTCGATGTGTAAAACTTACTGAAATAAATTTCTATCTCTCTAACCTCCCCATGCTAGTTTTAAACAATCAAAAACGACTTCCTTTGTTTTGTCT